TATCTCTTCTGAAACCTATTTCATTTGATAATATTTGTTTATTTATTTTGATTTTGATTATCTATTAACATTAAAAAAGATAATAAAACCATAAACTTCTTTATATTAATTTTGGACCACTATTGCTATGAAAAAAAACACAAGACCGTTATTAACAGTATTTACATATTTGAATAATTAATATAAATATTTGACTTTGAATCTATTAATTTTTGCTATTTATCTTCATGGTTTCCACATGTATTAAACTAGTAATATGATAAAGTAACGGAAATCTTCAGAAAAGTCCCAATATTTACGGAAAAGTTACACTTTAGTCCCAAAACTATTTTTTTGAACGAAAAAGTCCTGAAAACTGGCAAAAATTTGTAGTTTGACCCTTTTTGACCGGTACCAAATTAATTTGGGACTATTTCGTAAACTAACACAAAATATTGAGACTTTTCTGTAAACAAAAAATATTAGGACTTTTCTGTAAAAAAAATATTATGACTTTTCTACAAACAAAACCCTTATTATTATTATTATTATTATTATTATTATTATTATTATTATTATTATTATTAAAAATATAAATAAGAATACTATTTTTTAAACTTGTTATTATTAATATTGTTACTTATACATATAAATGCATTTAAATGAAAAAAATAATATTAATGACATTATTTTAGAGTGGAGGTGGAAGAGATGGTGATGCTTTTAGCATTGAAAGTAAATATTCATGATTTCAATGCTAAAAGCATCATCATCTCCTCCACCTCCACCCTTAAACAATGTCATTAATATTATTTTTCAATTAAATGCATTTATATGTATTAGTAACAATATTAATAATAACAAGTTCAAAAAATAGTATACTTATTTATATTTTTAATAATAATAATAATAATAATAATAAGGGTTTTGTTTGTAGAAAAGTCATAATATTTTTGTTTACAGAAAAGTCCTAATATTTTTTATTTATAGAAAAGTCCTAATATTTTGGGATAGTTTACGAAATAGTCCCAAATTAATTTGGTACCGGTTTCAACCGGTTAAAAAGGGTGAAACTGCAAATTTTTGCCGGTTTTCAGGACTTTTTCATTCAAAAAAAAAATCTTGAGACTAAAGTGTAACTTTTTCGTAAATATTGAGACTTTTCTAAAGATTTCCCATAAAGTAACAATAAATTTAAACTAAACTATAGCTTAACCATTACCAAACTTTTTTCCCAAAAATTCTGGCCTTACATCCACTTTTACCTATTCGATGACAAACTTTATTTCATGGTGTGGTTCAAGACTCAAGACATAAGAGATCTCAACCATTCATGAAAACCATATAATCCCATCTCAACCATCTAAAACCATTCAATTATTCAAAAGACATATCACCGGCTGCCGACAAAAAGATAAATATCTTTGTTTCATCGGAGGCTATCGGCCACCGACGGTAACATACATAACCTTTCACTCCCCCAACATCCCCGATCATGGTGACATACATACACTATTACAACAAATGATTTACCATTTTATTATCGTTATTATCCAAATCAACTCCAAAACACAACCACAACGATTCAAACGAAAAACAAGAACCAAAATTCCTCCAGATCATGATGGTGATGGTGACTTCTTACATCTATTGTATGTTGTGCATTCTTGTAACACCCTGTTTATTTAATTAATGAATAAATTAATTAATGAATGAATAGTAGCCCTAAAATAAATAATTATAGGTCAAAGGTTGGTCTCGAGGAGTTAATTGTCACACTTTAAGAGATTGTGGGTTAAAAGAGTAACATATGGACCTTATTTGAAAAGATCTTGAAGAGAAGGGGGCTGTTTGGTAAGTATTATACCCAATTTGTAAGGAATTTTAAGGCTGAGGGCTAAAAAGGTAAATATGGGATTTATTTTGAAATAATTTCTGACTGGAGGGGTCGAATGGTAACTATGGGACTACATATGTAAGGAATTATGTGAGCATGGGTGGAAAGAGTAAATTATGGACTTTCTGTGAAAAGAATCTTGTGGGGAGGGGCTATTTACGACATTATGGAATAAAGTTTGAAGGGGGTGTCGGGTATTTATACAATGCGAACCCTAACCCTAAAAGAGCATGTTACAGCCGCCTCCCAACCTTATAGCTCCCCACCGGCGCCGCTACCATCCTATCTCCGATCAGCCAAGCAACCACCGTGACCACCGGACTTCCATCGTGCTTGCGGCCGGCGAGGATGACGTCAATGGGTTAAAGACGTCGGATGATGGGGCTATGGGAGTTGAATGGGTGACGCTAACGTTCATTACATCCATTCTCCGACCACCTAGCGCCGTCGAACAGCCTCCATACATTGTCGTCACTCCAATCGTCGGCGAGGACCGTGTAGTCTCTCCGCCGCTGCTGTTGCTGCTTTGCTCGGTGGGTTTCGCACCGCCAATCTCCTTCTCGACGTCGTTAAGCTCCTGTGATGTTCCATCGTCGTTATTTCTTCTCCGATTGCCTGATGCTGTCACCCAAAGTGAGCACGGAGGATGCGTGGCTTACGACCGGGCTTGCGTTCATGTGTTCTACTCGCGTGGGCTGAAGTGCTGATGGGTTGCGGAACGTGAGGAAACGCCGCCACCACAGCGATGTGGTGGCTGTCAAAGCAAAGTTGCCTCTGCTGACTCCATCTTGTGCCATCACCGCCATGTACACCACCAGGTGGGTGGCTGTGTTGCTGTTCCGGACAAGAGTGCGTGTGTTTGTTATTTCAGTGATGTGGAGTTGGGTTTGCGTGGACGGAAAACCAAGAACCACCACTGCCACCACCGTGAGATGGTGGCTGCCACCATGTGCCGCCATGTGTGTGTTTATCTTAGTGACTTGGTGTGTTTTTACTTGAGTTTTAGCCTTGTAAGATGTAATTGGAAATGGAATAATGAAATGGAATTGAAAACCACCACCTTAGGGTGGTGGCTGCCGCCTCCTGCCGCCACCGTCCGCCGTGTCGGGTGGCGGTGTGCTTAGTTGTGTTGGGATTGCTAGTTTGGGGATGTTTGGTCAAGGGACTAAAACCCTAATGGGCCTTGAAACCCTAATGGGCCCAATGAGGCTTAATGGGCATAAAAGCCCAAACATGTGTCTAGTGGGCTTAATGGACCCTAATGGATCCAAGGACTTAACCCTATTGGGCTAAGATGGGTTGGAAACCCTAATTAGGGTTTAGAAAACCCTAATATTGGATTTATGGGCTTGGACTTATTGATACCCACTTGTGGGCCATTGGAATAATGGAATTGTGTGATTAAGCCCAATCACACCATATGATTCATTTCGAAGAATGATGGGCTTAATGGATTAAGTCCTTAATGGGTTAAGTGAGAAACACTTAACCCTAATCGTCATTTTATGTGAAACCCTAATTTCACATGGGTGTATTGTTGGGCCTTCTATTGGGCCTTGATGATTGCGTTATTAATGGGCCATCCAAAGTCAAGCAAATGGACTTGAATATTTAAGGGGCCTATGGTAAGGCCCATGTAAGGGGTTTGGGCCCAATTTGGAAAATTGGGCCATAGATGGGCCATAGTTTGGGCCTTAATGATTATATGATGTTGGGCCTTAGAATGAGACCATGTAAAGGTTTGGGCCCAATTTGGAAAATTGGACATATGCTGGGCTTTGAGCCATAGTTGGACTTTTGGGCCTTTGGATTGGGCTTTGGGCTTAAATAAGCCAAGATAGGGGTAATGTAGTAATTACCCAAAGCATGTACTTATGGTTATCTAGTGGAACCCAATTATTAATTGGGTAATGTTTTGATATTGACAGACCGGGAATCTATCCAGCAGCTGGGGTTGAGTCTGCGGGACGTTAGCAGTGTGGGGTTGAGTCTTCGGGACTTCAGCAGTGCGAGGTGAGTTACCTTCTAGTAGGAGTGGGTCTACGGCCACAATGCCGACCCACTAGTAGGAGTTATTTGTTAGATGATTGTCTTTGTGATAATTATCTGGTGTGTTGTTATCTGATATGCTTTATGTGCTAGGATGCTATGACATATGTGTTAGTAGTGGTAGGGGTGATATAGCCCATAGTTACCGGTTGAAAGATACTGAAGGGGTAGGTAGTACCCATGCATGCCTAGCAGTATGATCACGATATGTTAATATGCGATAGTGGTAGGGGGTGAAATAGTCCCCGATTATCGGTTGAAAGATACCGAAGGCAGTTACCGGTTGAAAGATACCGAAGGGGTAGACAGAACCCATGTATGATATGTTATTAAGTGACCAGTATGGTTATGATATGCCATTATGTGATTCAGTATGTTTATGTTATGTTATCATGGAACCAATATGTATATGACATGTTATGATATGGTAGTGGTGGGGGTGAAATAGTCCTCGGTTACCGGTTGAAAGATACCGATGGCGGATACCGGTTGAAAGATACTGATGTCGGATACCGGTTGAAAGATACCGATGGCGGATACCGGTTGAAAGATACCGAAGGGGTATACAGAACCCATACAATGCTTATTTGTCTGTTTATGATGTTAGTATGTGATCAACATGTTTATGATGTTAGTACGTGATCAGTATGTTTATGATATATTACTATGTGATAGTGCTAGGGGTGAAATAGTCCCCGGTTACCGGTTGAAAGATACCGATGGTAGTTACCGGTTGAAAGATACCGATGGTAGTTACCGGTTGAAAGATACCGATGGTATTATGTGGTATGCGGTATGATGGGGGAACTCACTAAGCTTCATGCTTACGGTTTACGGTTTTGGTTTCAGGTGCTTTGTTTGCAAAGGAAAGGAACCGGCTTGATCGCAGCGCATCACACTATGTTTTCCGCACATGAGATCTTTGGGATTACACTCTGATATGGTTTTATGATAGAATGCTTTGATTATTGACACTTTGGTTTTGACATGAGATATGAATATGAATGTTTTATCACTGATGATTTTATATTATAACTTAGTCAAAACGAAATTTTTGGCCTTGAATTTTGGGATGTTACAATTCTCGATGGAGATATCTTTTTTTGTCTCCTGCGCAACCCTTGACCCGGCAACTTGGATTACCAGGTTGTAGAGCTATATATGCGATTGAAGGACCTTTTGCCGCTTCCATAGTCCGCATATGTTCTTCTGTATCCATCAGAAACTCTTGCTCTTCGTCCTCTATAACCTGGCTGCAGTCCGCCATGGTGCTGCCATTGCATGCCGCCATGGATCCGTCACAGTTTCTGATTATCGTCATCGTCAGTATGATTGATAGCAATAACAAGGCAGAAGTGAAGAACACTGGGTTACGTCTGTTGATGATCAACATCTTTGTTTTCTTGCGATGAGTTAGGTTTAGATGGTGTTTGTAGCTATTTATAATGAAGTCGTTAATGGCAGATCATGGATATTACTTTTGGGGGTTGGTTATTAGACAATACCAAATGGCTTCTAGCTCAGCGGTATCCGGTGTTGCCCTCCTTCATTGAGGTTGAGGGTCCAAGTCCCCTGTGGACATATGTGAAATAATTTTGGAATAGTTTAGTATATATATTTGTATTTGAGATTAAAAAAAAAAATACTGGGGTCGAGGGTTCAATAATTATTGAAGGAAGGAGTCTTTATACATGTCGTCTGAGATGCATATTACAGATGAACCAAGTGGCTAATTAAATGTTTATGTTTGTGAAAATATGTTGGCAGCTGCTATCTAAGATGTATTTTTATTTAAGTTTAACAAAAGTAGTTGTATTAAAATTTTTTAAAGCAACTTAAAGAAGCTTTTAGATTATGACTTTTTTTTTTCTAAAATAAATAGTTTAAGTTTGAAAAAAGTTTTTTCTTCAATTCTACCTTTTTTTAATAACTAAAAATTGAAAACTTCTAAAATATTTTCAAAAATTCGTAGCTGAACATACCTTATCGTCATTAAAAATGACATTAAACCTAGATTCATGATCATATATAAAAATAGGGAAAATAACTTATAAGCCCAACTCAAATCGTTCAAAAAAGCCATAATTATATTTTGTCTGTTTAATAAAAACCCAACGAACTTAACATTTTGTCTAAAAATCCCAACTAACTTACATTTTGTTCAATTCTCATTTGGGTCAACCGGCTAATGAAAGTCAACGAATGACAAAACTTATGACGTAGAATTAAATATCAGAAAAATGACTTGGAAGAGCAATAATGTTTTGAAACCGTTCAAAAAACTTTAATCATGTTTTGTCTGTAAAAAAACATCAACAAACTTAACCTTTTATCTAAAAAAACCCAACGAACTTACACTTTTGTTCAATTCTCATTAAAGACAACCTTATTTATTACGTATACATTTAGTTGACAAATGACATGACGTTATATTTAATTACATTGAATAAACATATTAGAATTGTCCTTTATATATCGATTTAAGGCTTGGAGAAGAGAAAAATGAATGGCGTATGTTTTGGATCTCTTATAATGGCTACTTCTTCTTCTTCTTCCTCTCAATCGTTGATGTTCAACTCAAGATCTACAAAGAAGATATTCGATGATACAAACCCTTGTGGATGTGGATGCCCTTCTCGAATTTGGACATCTAGAACGGATGATTATCAAAAGAAAAAGTTTAAGGCTTGTTCGAACAAACGAGTAAGTGTAACTGAAAGCTTTATCATGTTCATCTTCTATCTATCTGGTTGATTATCTTAATAAGTTCTTGTTTTTAAAGGAAACAAACAAATAGATAGAAGTTGGACATGATAAAACCTTCAATTATACTTACCCATCCGTTAGAACAAGCCTTGAACATTTTCTCTTGATGATCATCCGTTGTAGATGTCCAAATACGAGAAGGGTGTCCACTTCCACAAGGGTTTGCATCATCAAATATTGTGTTTGTAGATCTTGAGTTGGACATCAACGATTGAGAGGAAGAAGAAGAAGTAGCCATTACAAGAGAACGAACACTAACACCGTTCGTTTTTCCCAGCTGACGAGATATGTTTGGTGTGCCGCAAGGCATGTTTGGACTCTTTTGGAGAGCATGAAGTTCATTTCAAAGATCTAACGGGGTTTAAATACAGGCACAATATGGTTAGGGATGTTTTGGTCGACATATTTAAGCGTGCCGGGGTTTCCGCTAAAAAATAGCCTCTTGTGAATTTCTTGACTTACCCGACAGTAAGAAGGTCAACCCTTAAGACCGGCTGACATTTTGATTTTTGGATGGGTTGGAAGGAAAAACGCATGTGTGGACCTTATAGGGGCATCCCCTCTTGTAGGCTTGAGGGCCGATGGTTTCATGGCGGGAAAAGCTGTATTAAAAGCTGATACATGCAAGGTCACCAAACATGAGAAATCGTGCATGGAAAATCAACATGTGTTCATACCATTTGCATTTGATACATTTGGATTCCTTGCGTCGGATGCGGTGAAGCTTCTTAATAGAGTACAATAGATCATGCATAACATTGTTATATCCCCTAGATCCATGGATGTAGTCTTCAAAAGAATTGGCTTTACCATACAAAAAGGCTTAGCGGTGCAACTTGTTGTCCGCTCGCCTTCTCATTCGTTGTACGATGATAACTAAGATTTTTTAATCAATGCATGTCAAATATTTTCAAAGGAAATCCCAATCTGACTATTTCTTGTCATTAAATATAATGTCATGTCATTTTCCAACTAACTGTATACCTAAAGAATCTGGTTGCTACTAATGAGAATTGAACAAAAGCGTAAGTATGTTTGGTTTTTTTTAGACAAAAGGTTAAATTCGTTGGTTTTTTTAAACAGACAAAACATGATTGAGGTTTTTTGAACGATTTCGAAACCTCGTTGGCCTTACAAGTCATTTTCCCGATATTAAATTCCATGTCATTATTATGCGAGAATACTTTCTTGAATGAAAATAAGTTACAATGTATGAATATATATTGATGAATGCATATTAAATGGCTCTATACACAAACTACAATAATGGGAGATACATGAATACAAACATGTATACTAACATCCCCCAGTAGTTTGAAATGGAATATGGACGTTTAAACTGGATCGAAAGTTTGAGAAAAGTGATGAAGGAAGTCCTTTGGTGAAGATGTTGGCATGCTGAGCAGAATATGGTACATGATGGACACGAATTTGGCACCTAGCAACTTATTTATGAACAAATGAATGTCAATCTCTGTAAGTTTTGTTCGTTGATGATTAATCGGATTTGCAGACATGTACACAACACCGATGTTGTCATATTAAACGATTGTTGCTTTGGTTGTTGGGCAACATAGTTCACACAGAAGATTACAGATCTAGATTGTTTCTACAAATGAATTGGCTACGCCTCAATATTCAACCCATGAACTAGAACAAGAGACAACACCTTGGCGTTTGGAGGACCAGGAGATGAGGTTATCACTGAGGAAGACACAATACCTAGATGTGGAGAGACGGGTGGTGGGGGATCCCCCTAATATGCGTCAGAGTAGGCAACAAGGTTAGCAGTGGGGGATATGTGTATCTGAAGACCATGATCAATAGTACCCCTGATGTACCGAAGAATACGCTTGAGAGAATGAAGGTGTTGCTTTAGAGGGTCATGCATATTGTAACGTCCCAAAAGTAAAACCAAAATTTTTTAATTTTTAAATAACTAAAACGATTAACCAAAACATCATAATCAAACCATAGTGCAATAAAGTGTGTTTAATACATCATGAAGCATCAAAGTAATCATAAAATGTGGAACGAGGTGGTGTGTGCACTGTAATCATCCCACGTTCTTCCCTTTTGAACCAGAAGTACCTGAAACATAAACTGAAAAAACCATAAGCATAAAGCTTAACGAGTTCCTCAGAATACCACATACCTTACATATCAAATATACAATGGGCCCTACCCGTCATTACGCCCCACCTGGCATCGGGCCCCACCCGGTATTGGGCCTCGCCCGATATACATATAATCATATACATATAATCACATAACACATGCAATAATCACAAGGATAGATATCATACAGAATGGTCATCGGGCCCCCGTCCGACATCAAGCCCCACCTGACATCGGGCCTCACCCGGTAAACATGCAAACACATAACCTATGCAAGAGTCATGCGGTCATCTAGCATCCTAGCATAACCAACCATGGGACAACATTGGTGCCTTCGACCCACTAAACACAGTAAGGAAACTTACCTCTAGCTATTGAATCTCTCTTAAGAATCTCTCGTTGCTGGTCTGGAAAATTATCGCGCTATCAATATCAATAGCATCCAGTTATTAATTGGATCTCAACCCATAACTAAAAGTCTAATCTATTGGCCCCATAACTAGGGCAAAATACCATTTTACCCTTTTATCTAACTTGGCCCAAAATCAAAGCACAATCCAACTACTAACAAAGGCCCAAATTTTACTTTGCAACCCAAGGCCCAATTATGGCCCAATCTTCCAAATTAGGCCAAAAACCCATCATGGGCCTAAATTCCAAGGAAGCCGAACATGCTAGTCCAAGGTCCAATACAAAATTCTGATGGCCCAACAAGGTCTAATACCGAGAAAATCAAGCTCAAAGCCCAGCTACTGAGTATGTGTGGCATACTCAGCTCGTACGCTTAACGTACTCCTTTTGGGGCTAGTATACGTAACGTACCAGCTGGGTACGCCCAACATACTCCCAAGTGTGCCACCCTACTCCATTAAGCACTTAATTGGTTAAGCCCTTTCTCCGAACTCATAGATCTGATCCCTAAAGGAGACTTACCATGTAAAGTTGGCAACTTTACATACATGCATGGTTTAATGGGGCTCAAGAGGTCAAAAAGAGCTTAGAAAAGGTCTTAACAAATGCAAGGGTCCAAATACTCCATAAAGTTGACATTTTTATGAACATGGGGATTGATTGGAGCTAAGATCTAGTATGCATTTCCTCTGCAGTATATCAAAAGCTCTTCTTTAACATAAAGGACTCAAAAAGTGCACAAAATGCTTGAACTAGATCTAACATTATGAGCATAAATATGTAAGATTTTTACCTCAATATCTTGCAATTGTGGAGATGATATTGGATCCATAAGATCAAGAAATCCCCTCAAGTGTTCCTCTTCTTCTTCTCTTTCACAAACCACCAACAAACACTCTTCAAGCTCAAAACTGACCTAATCACTATAGGGTTTCGTTTTCTGGGACAAGGAGAGGTGGAGGCTGGTTAAACATGCCCAAATAAGGCTATAATGAGGTTTATGTAGGGTGTAAACCCTAAAAATTACGGTTTGCGTTAGCCTCAATTACATCCTGCGTACTCCATGTATGCCTCGTGTATGTGATCAAGACCCGCAAT